ACCTCGTCGCCTCGGGGGAACTGACAGAAATTATCTTTTTCTACTATCATAATGTTATTAATTCGTTTAAATTCCTACCTGTTCCAAATACAACTCACTTGTACATAATGTAGGTCACAGAACACGCCGTAGAAGACAATCAGAAGCAGAAGTCTGACATTTATGTAAGATAGAAATATACTATCTCAAACCGTCAATTCTAGAATTCTTTTATTCGATCAAATTTATGTTAGACTTATTACCAGCCCTAAAATAGTTGAGAAAAGGTCAAGAGAAAATAATAAAATATATCAATCCATCCACGCATTACGTATTCCCATAAATGTCACATTAATATTGATAGAAGAGAAGATCGAAGTTCCATTGTGACCGTTTGACAGTGGTTTCGATCACTCATTCATAAAGTTGGCTATGTCACCTTCTGCCTGGATAGGGGTCTTAAAAACGTACCGAGAATTCGATTCTGGCATTTATACTGGTTACGATGGACAGACTATCGAAAAATTTGCACATATTTACAGACTCATATATATTAGTTATATTTTTTTTTAAATGTTGCCCCACATTAGGATTTTCTCCTGTATCGTGGGTGCGTTTACAAACATACAAGTTCACATACACAATGACACCCAGACCCTAAACAATTTGATCACACAAAGTGTTGTTCCGTGCGGGAATCGAACCCGCGACACGTTGCACGGCAGCCGGTTGCCCAGCCACCGCACCAACTGTGCAGTCGCACGCATTTCTAAACGTAGTCACGCATATTGACTACGTTTAGAAATTATGAAGTAGTTAATGAATGAAACCAATGAAAATAATCACTATAATGATTCATTCTACGTTTAAAAACCGACGAACCCCTCATTTTTTGAAATCGGTTAATTGATATATCAAAACCTTCTCCTATGTGCAACAAAACACTTTTCTTCACATCGAAATCGGTTTAACCAATCGTGAGATAATCGGCACAAACCAGGTCAAACTGACAATATCGTATTTTTTTTTTTTTTTTTTTAGAAAACGTTGCCCCACACTAGGATTTTCTCCTGTGTCGTGAGTGCGTTTACAAACATACAAGTTCACATACACAATGACACCCAGACCCGAAACAACAATTTGTGGATCACACAAAGTGTTGTTCGAAGTCGATCAAAAATAGTAACTACTACTTGGAAAGTAATAATATTATTTTGTTATAATTAACAGTACCTAGTCAGTTTCAAACCGCGAGATTAACATAATTTTGCTTTGAGTATTGTAAAGATTGTTTGACCACTTAACAATTATAGGGTAGATGCTTAATTTTTTTAATTGATTTCATCGTCACTTCTATGTACATATTATACATAGAAATGACGTTTTCTCGTAAACTTTGATTCGTTTTATCTAAGTATTGTTTTAAACGGCAAAATAAAGAAATACGTATCTAATATTTTTTCATTACCTAACTTACGGTTTAATTATATTTCTAATTTTCATACCCTGTAATGACTATACAATATTGAATTGGGATAATGATCCCAATTCAATATCTCAGTTCAGCAGTCGAGTCTACGACTAAGAGACCAAGGGGACAAAACTAAAAGTATCAAGATGTTGACTGTAAGGCCACGTGTTCCAAATTGCGCTGTAAGGCGGGGAGCGTCAAAGACTACTGATCGTGGTATCTTTACACAAAACCCTCGTTTATTGAATTTTCATGATTCCCTTCCATGCAAGTTCGTCGATTTCGCGGAATCTCAACTCGGTTGCCTTTACCAGTGGGTACATAGTCGTGTGTTCTCTGAACTCGGTCGAGCACTTTTATCAAAATAAATTAGTTCGGTTACTTTGTGGATGGTTTTATTTTCTCTGTTACATAGACTTTGTGGAGATTTGATTAATGTTTTCATAACTCAAAGTGGTTGGTCGGTCATAATTCTGCTTCTAGGAATTAGAGGAATATGACATGAATCCCATTTTTAGTCCTAACTCATAAGACACTACGGATGTCTCGTTAGATATGTGCTATAAAATAATTAAATGTGAATAAATACGTAGATAGACCTTTTGTTGTAACACACCTATTGTTATTATCCTATTTATTTTTTACAGACAACACAAAAGAAATTACCAAATTACTTTCACGCTGTTTTCTGTACAAAAAGACGAGACGCCTCAATAAAAAAAGGTCGAAAGGTTACACTAAGTCATTAAGATTGATGTCCAAGATTGGTCCACAGTAAAAAAGTTTTGAACGTTCCATCTTACAAATATCCACCCATATATGAAGATAAATCTATGCCCTAGAGAAAGCGTTTCTAATCTTCCAGAGAGCCTTGACACTGTTTCTTAAAATAGAACAGAAGGGCGCAGAATGTAAGGTCCAAAGATTTCGGGGAACAACCGCAGTTCCTCAAAACAATATTTCGAGAATGTTCCATACGCTGTACTGTTGACAAAATCGAAGATGATTTCCACATTCGAATATCAAAACATTCCAGCAAAACATCAAAAAGAATGTACCTATCAGTTAAATTGGTCTACAATTTCCACCAAAACGAATGCCAAGCATAAAATCGATACTTAACTGCACACCAAACACTTTTTTCTGTACCGTACACATGTTCACGAATGCTTACATAGCAAGGTGTTGTTCGGAACAGTCCCCAAAGAGTTTCGTTTGCGGCACCAAATTGAATTTCCGTTTCAATACATTTAGATAAGTGTGGGTATTATTTTGCATTCTGTACTTAAACTTTGGAATGGAGTTGTATTTGGGTTGCGGTGTCGCTATTTACCCTTTCAAATGTATAGGGTAACACTGGAGTCTCGTTGGATTCTCTCTCGTATCTTGAGTGTGTGCTAACAAATGCCACATTCAAAACGCCTTGCTTCACTTCTAATTTCGCCAAAAAGACACGTTGCGGTTGCTCCAAGCTAGAGACAGAATAACTTATGGTAGCGGTTTTTTTTTGATAAGATATTCTATGTAAAATGGTTTCTTAGATGTGTAAAAATTGTACATACTTTTTTTTTGTTTACAAACCGTTGCCCCACTTTAGAATTTTCTCCTGTGTCGTGGATGCGTTTACAAACATACAAGTTCACATACACAATGACACCCAGACCCGAAACAACAATTTGTGGATCACACAAAGTGTTGTTCCGCGCGGGAATCGAACCCGCGGCACATTACACGGCAGCCGGTTGCCCAACCACCGCACCAACCATGCAGCAGTGCAGCAGCAATAGAAATAAGAAAAATGTGTTTTTTCTTATTTCTATTGATTTCATACAGGAACCAAAGCTACACGTAAGACAACTACCAATTTGTCCTTGCCAATTGGGACGTAAATTTGGCAGATAAAGTTACATCCTATAACAAGAAATAGTGGGGCAATAAATAAATGTGCTGCTCTGTTATTTCTTTCGATCCAAAATTGCAAGTCACCAATACGAAATAGTGTCATTTAGGTTGAAAATATGAACAGTAGTAAAGTATCTGATATATCGATGGTTGTTAGGCCTCCTCTATAAGTGGTCCCTGTTTACTCCTATTGACCCTTATAACTTTCACACGATGACGGCTACCTAATAATATATCCAGTTTACCTTCTTTTCGCAGCAATTGAAGGTAAATAATTCGGACAGACCCATTTTCGGTAATAGGCGCGCGTTGTCCTGACATGCTTGTACCTAATTAGTAGATACATATCTCTCTAGGTTGATAGTAATTTAGTTCTGGTAAGTTCTATGAATATTTTTACGTACGTTGTTGGACACTAGTGGTCTTCCCACGGCTCTGTCTGCCTAATCGGATAAAAATGTCACCGATACGTGAATTATATTTTCTAACAGTTACTAATATCTAATATACCGATTCTAAAGTTGGGTCCATTGTTTTATTATTTGTTCTACTCTATTATACTTGATCGCCTAAACAAAACTGTTTGTGTAACACAAATTCTATAAAGTATCTTATTTTAGGACGAGACAAAATCTTTACACGTAAATAGAAGGAATATTTTAAGGGATTTCTATTAATTAAGTATTGTATTAAAGCGTGGGGTATTCTCCTCTGGTTCGGGTTCGTGGCTTCGGGCGTTGTGATTATATTTTAAGAAGTTACAATCTCTCGTGAATTTAGGAAATTTATATCGTAATTGCTAAAATGTGGGTGTAATACATTTAAATCCAGTCTTGGTCTTCGTGGAATAGTACTGTTATACATTTTATATTAGGCAATATGCTTTCTAGGAGATTTTCATTTCATTCCAAACCTAATTTACTTTTCTAAGAAAACTTTGATCACTGTATTTGTCATCCCAATGTCTCAATTCTATTGTTGACCGTCTGTTGAATAAACACAGCCCTAGCCAATGTAAACTTGAACCACCAATCACAATAATTCATATTTATTATGATAACTGAATTCATTCGTCCATTAATTTTATGTAACCAATCAGCTGTCAGAATTGACTCGAGGCAATTAGGGGTGGCGCTGCAAGAGTGATTTAAGTAAAACTTTGTTGTTTACGTTGTTGGACTTGGCGATTGTCATTCAGCCAGCGATTAATCATGAGAGCTTTGTCTCGAGATGCAAACAGCTCATAAATAGTTCGTTAAGGGGTGTCTTAAAGAATATACTTTGTTTTGACGAATAGCTTTAAAATTACGCCTCCGGTCTGTATTCCGCGACTCATGCTGATAATGGATCTTTTTTCCGTTGTTTTGATTTTTCGCAAAACTCCCTTGTTTTGTTTTAAATCCTTTTTTGTTACCGTTTGCCAATTACGCAAGTAGATTTAATTAAAATGTTTTCACGGAAATCCGAAATACCTATTATTGAAAAAATATTTTACTTCTCGTGTTTTCCGACAAAACGAGCAAGTATTATATTTAAAAGCAAGTACCTATTGAATTTCGAATATGTAAAAAGGATTCAAAACACAATCAATGGATCAATAAAATGACAAAAACGATTATATTACCAAAACGTTTATTTAAGTTTTGCGTATTGCTAATTTATGAACATCAACCATCTGCCTACGTGATAAAATGTAGGTATACAGACAGTTTTATGTGGACCACACTTAACTTTAGCGTGTAAAGTAAACGGTCCAAGATGGCCCCGGGTTAGGCGATATAGGTGGATAATCCGTCCTCATCAGCCATTCGACCGCACAAAGTGTTGTTACGCGTGTCTAGAGTTATCCCCATCTATCTTCAAGGGGACCGCTTAAGAATGGACAGGACAAAGAGCTGGCCATTACGACGCGCCTTGAAATTGCAACTTGCTCGACAAAGGACTTTGCTGTCTCATGTCTATTCAATTACTCTAAAGGTCAGCAGACGAGAGCGTCTATATCTACCTACTCACCTCACAATATCTTTCTAAAGCCACAAAAGCTATAATTACGCAAGAAGAAGTACCTTAATTGTGTAGGCGTAAAATACACAATGCGAAACGACTTGAAACTCGGTTTTAATTAAGAAGATTAATGAAATTCGATGCTCTGTAAACCGATAGGCGTTACATTGTCTATGGAGCGCTTCAAAGTGAATAGGTTGAGAGCACTGAGTGACATTTCCGTGGACGTGCGTTCATTGCAGGGCTCGATATGTATGACTTTCGGAAATCTTTCAGAGTGTCGCATAAAGCGCTCTGTTGTCCAGCAGAAAGGGTGTTCGATGTCCCAGTGAAATCTGTGGGAGTTGAAAGGCAAACATTACAAAAGCGTTTTTCCCCGTCGCTCGGTTGGGTCGTGACGTCCGGTGCGCTCTCGGGCGCGATTGATTCAGCGGCGGATGGTTCAATAATTCAGCAGGATGACCGGCCTGTACATGTCGCATGTTCCACACGGGGACTGGCCGCAATATTGACAGGGCTGTCAGCCAACTTCCAAAATAACAGATAAGTACGGAAGAGTTGTCGAATGTGGAATCCATATTTTATGTTAACGAGGCCCATACTTACGTAGTTTGAAGGGATGAATTTGTAGTTTGACATAGTTATGCATACGAAAAATATACACAGTTTCAATAGAAACAACGTCGTATATAACAAGGTACAAGTAATAACATTCTCATTTTACAAATTGCATAGAAAATGGCGGCGCGGTCGCATCGCCGTGGCCCGCAACACCGCGAGCTATTTCCAATCATACGTTCCGACATCGCTTACCAAACATTATATTAAATGGTTCAATTAAAACTTATTTCAGGCCTTACCCTGGATTATTAATGTGCTAATAATTCTTTCTGTCATCGTAATTAAAGTTTAAATGAAGATAGACGAAGTTTATTGCGCTTTGCTCGGAGTTTTGGCTGCTCTAAGGTGATATACATCAATTCCATTAGCACAGTTTATTTTGACTAATGATAGTATAAATTTGCGAAAGAGACGTAATTAGGCAGCCGGAACCCAAGCCACAGGGTACGTCGACCGACCGCCACGTCGCCAAGATGTCATCTATCATTCATTTCTGAAAAAAAAAAACAGTCTTAAAACGTTTACGTCACAGACTCCATTTTTTATTGTCCACATAATTCCTAAGTTTGAGGCATAAGTACATGATTTTTACAAATTTATTAAATATTTCTCTATCATTACCTAATAGATTTCAGCCAAAACATTATTAAGTTATTCCACTGACCGATGTTTGTAGGTAGTTAACATAGTCTAGACCAGAACTTATTAGAAAATTTCCATTACATTTTAATGAATTTCGGATAAGATATAAGTTGCCAATAAATCATATAACGCAGTTATTCTACAAACCCCACATGAAGTTACATTTTGCTCTCATAGTTCGATTACAAAATCCATTGGCCGGTCGTGGCTTATCTTTGGATTTATGATTTTACATCCCAATAAAAACGTTTTAAAACGAATTTTGCTATATATCGAGTTAAATGTAACATTATTTTCCTAAATTGTAACAAAACACAAGTATGTTACGCCTCGTGTTATTATTTCATCTGTTATTGTGCACTTTGGTGATGTGTAAAAGAACACAGCAAAAGGAAAAAGAATCGTCCGCAAGTGCAGATGACCTGGGCGGCCAGTTGGTAACTTCGTTACGGAACGACGTCAACATAGACCTCTCAGCAGACGAGGAGTATGAGGACCTTCGAGCCGAGCTACTAGCCTACCACACAGCACTGGCTTCCATCACTCCTAGTCGTAGTAAGTACAACAGTTTGAGTTGAGCAAACCAAATCCAATTATAAATCTTAATATTGTCGAACTCTGATTTTAATAATACTTAGAGAGCCGTTACTTATCAGACCGTAATAAATTTACATAAGTAAATAGCTTTATAAGTTGCCGGCATTACTTCCGAGACAATGTAGCAATAATTAAAAAGTGGCCAGATTCACTGCGCTTCGTAATAACCGGAGGCTAATGAAAATGTATATTTCATAATCAAGTTATAAAAACTTTGGCGCTCCTTGTTATAAACATGCTGTTGATTATGCAAACTCAAACAGAACATCGTCAAAATTGATTCGATATGTACTTAGGCAGTAAACATAACGTTTGTAGGTAGAAGCAATGTAAAATCTATATTAACTCGAGGAAAATATTTCGATATTTCGATTTCGAACTCCAAGCACACTCGTAAAAATGTTGTTTCGAAACATTACCTAATGAACGTTTTCCTCAGGATCGATGAAGACTACGCCGTGTTGGAAGCTGGGCGGAATTTGCATCCATCACAAAATGTGTGAGGGCCACCGCTTTATGTCCGAAGTTGAAGGCTGCAGACGAAATTTAGAAGTCTGTTGCTTTGTGTGGAACGGGTACCAGGTCAGAGACATGAAAGACAAAGGTTTGAATAACTTAGCACTGCCGTGGAATCAGCAATTCGAAATTGGTGGTAAAGGCATTATAGCCTCTATGGATAAGATGAAATCAAAGAAGAAGAAGCGGAAAACAGTAAAGGTAAACGTGGATGATTCCCGAATAATACAATCACGCACCAATACATATAAAGAGGAGAATAATATTGGTGATATTCCTGTTATGGTTATAATAAGAAATAATAAAGATTAATTTTGTTTTTACTCACTCGTATTGCACAGACAAAATCTTAATTAAATGTAAAATATAATTCGATTATCTTAACGAATGTACCTAGCGAGACATTACAATCAAAACATTAAACGGCTTATCGGATGTAGTTCTTTCTGTTAATTAAAAAGTCAATCTTATAACTTTTTATGTTTCTTTAACTTTATCAATAGGCATGTAAACTTAAAATCATGTTTCTGTTCGTCGTTATTATGTTGGTGGTTTCAAATGTGGGGGGTCAAAATGTCGCGACAACCTCTAAACCATACAATATCGGAATATCCAGTGGCTACAAGGATGTATTCCTTGCTGGGATGAATGGGAAACCAACACTTGGTTAGTATTTTTTCCACTATTGCAACCGTTAGTTTTGTTTCATAAACAATAACTATAATAAAGGGGACTAGCTATTTCACATGTTTATGTCGACTGCCCAAAAATTATTAAAGTACATTTTCAGAGTACCTTAAATATTGCACCATTTCAGACTAACGCCTAGTAGATTTTAACAGCATAAAAATACTATATTGTCTGTACTTTAAAAGTATTCAGAGAGCATCTGTCACAATAGTTATTGTCCGAGTGAATATTTTTGTAGGTGTACAAAAGTAATTGGGTACATTGGACCATTCAATCAAAAGTAAGTAAATAGATCTTACCCGATGTATACAGGACTATAGGTTAAAGAGAAAATTGTATATTTTTACAACGATGACGTCATACAGGAACAGCAGGATCAACCTGTTGGGCACGCGGAGGCATCTGTGTCGACCTTCAACAGTGCCCTTCACTGAAAATGGATGTTGGTGTCGCTGGCTGTGCGTGGGGCTTTAAAGTATGCTGTAAAACCCACGGGGTCCTTCCTCCAACCGTGGGCACACAACGAAGATACGCGATACCCGTCATAAGCAGTCTCGACGAATTGGGAACCTCTTTAGACATTATCGCGCTCAGGAACTCCATGCTCCTCGCGAGCTGGCAACGTGAGAAAAATCCCGAAACTGATGATGTACACTTGAAAGACTTATTGAATAAATAAATATTTTTGTAGCCTCATGTACTGTGTTCGGAAATATTTCCTATAAATTAATAATTCAAATGACATTTAACCTTGAGCCTGTGAAGGCTTTTGATATAATTTCGATCAATCGGCTAGAAGCGTCCGTTGGCACTTCCAACATAAAATATTACTTTCAACGTCCATTCACGTAAATGCAAAACTCGTGTATCATGGTGAGGGCCGTTATCGTTGGTCTAAGCAATTAAATACAAACAACACTAAAACAATAGCCGCCATTCATAGTGGAAATTCACACGAATTTCTTTTATTTTCAATTCTGAAGCCGGTAGGCTTCGTTATGTATCCTGTAACACAAAAACAGCCAAAAAAAACATATTATCATCGTTTATAAACCGATTATCACTAAACCAACTAATAGCTGCGAGTTATCATATATTCTGAAGGGAAACGCAAACATGAAAGCATTAACCTGGGTCCCATATACCGCAGAATACAATTTAAGCAACACACACATACATACACAGAAGCTAAGCTTAAGTGTTACCAATTCATTAACCATGAAGTACCTATATTAAACCTACCATTGTATAATAAAGTGGCTCATTCATGCTCCACCACCGTGCTTGCCAACAATTAGAATGTATATTGCATAACATCTTGAAGCCTGTTACAGCATTTTCGTGTATTAATATTGGAGTAGTTGCTCCCTTCGAACTTGATCTTAATGTATTCTAATCCGTATTCCGAAGATAAGTATGCGTGTTTCTGTTTTAGGGTGCGTCTACACTACAATATTTATTGTTGACTCTTTTTGATAAGCGTTAAGAATTTAATCATCTTAGGCTCTGCCATGCAGCACTCTAAATGTCACAATAAACACCTTTAGTGTAGTTCTGATAATCGAATACAAGGATATTTTTGAAAATCTAAAAAATAATAAATTGTTGACAAGTGAAATCAAAGTAAAGTGTCTATAACCGACTTGGGAGTTTGGCTTCCCCACACCCACAGGTCTAGGTACCAACATAACCACGGGGCTCGAAACAAAATAAAGTCTACTGTGAACTCAGTGAGCGGAGCGTGAAGTTAGAAACTACGTCCGCGGACTCTCTGCGGAATACTACCGATCCAATTAGTACCAGCACTCCTCCATAAACAAGACAATAAAAATAAACAACGAAAATAAAACTTCCAATCTCACGTCCAGAATTTACCAGAATATAGAAATGCTGGAAAAATCCACAAATTGTACACGATCCGTAACTGTTTTGGGTACAACCGAATCCGCGGCTCTCGACTTAATAAGGATTCTTGGTTCAAAGATAGGCCGTTAGTTTGAATGCGTGCCAAATTAGTTCACCTCGACTGGGCCGCCTTCAACATTCGTAATGAACACAACTAAGTTTATGTGTTCGTACATAAGGCCGGCCACAAATTACACTTTGACGTGAAATTGTATGTGCGTAGACTAAGATCATAGCGCTTAGGTAAACGGTAACTTATGCGTAAACGTTAAACCGTCAGTGTTCTTAACGTGTCCCGACTTGATCCAGGACCTTCGGTAACGAAGTAGATTCTATCTTAGCAGTGGTTGTTACTTTTGATGTATACTTTGAAATGAACATTGAAGCAGGTCGGATTAAAATTAATAATATATTAGCCCCGCTTGTAAACATAATATGTTCCTGTCTGGATATGTAACAAAAGCGTTACATAAAATTTAACTCAAATTTATTTTGCAATCTGGTAAAAATTCGGGTATCTCGTTTTCTTATTTCGTTACGAATATAACTCACTATCAGCCCGTCCCGGCTTCGCACGGGGTAGACAATTATTTATTTTTGGAAATTTGGATTGTTGTAGTGACATAACTACAATAGTTGGACATATGCTACTGCGGAGTGTTTTGTAGACATTGACATCGCTAATAGTTTCGGCAGCGCATTCGACGAAAGACATTTTAAGACTCTTTTTTCTACACCTTCGGTTACATTGTTCAAATTTTACCAAGGATCCCTAATTTTTTTCAAAATGAAATGTGGCCTATGTCAAATTAGAAGAATATAGCATTCTATTGGTGAAAGAATTTTTTAAATCGGTTCAGTTCTTTTTGAGCCTATTCATTACAAACATACAAACATACAAAAATAGATACAAATCTTTCCTCTTTATAATGTTAGTATAGATAATATGCGCTGCTGGGCTTTTGCGGCATGGCGTCAGCAGTGATGTACGACGAGAGACCAGTGGGGATTAGCAAAACATCACGTCTTCAATTTATTAGTTGCTTGAACTTATCTGGTTCCATTAAAAATATGAAACCGCTATTTTAAGAGCTATAATGATGAGACTACAAAAGTGTTCTGATTAATAAGATATCGACTAAATGCTGCATTGGTCGTGTGTAACTAAACAAGAAATTCGATACGATTGCCAAATCGGAAAAAGTATTACCCAGTAATACATTTTTCAATTTTCTGAAAATCCTGCAAGCAGGTGCCATGGTATATTTTGCTGTAAATTTCATTACAAAAGCATGGTGTAAAAATCCTTTGTGTACATGGAACTTATCAAAAATTAACATTACGATCTTCACCAGGTTGAATTAAGTTTTTTACGAGCGAAAGTACAAGTAAGATGTAATACTTGAGACGAGGTGTAAAATTTTCATCTCTTGAAACAACGTTGTTTTATACATTGTTAAAGGTGTATATTATATTTACTTTGTGTTGATATTTGTGTGTGATGAGCTGTTTCATTTTTATCCTATAAATATTAATATAATGCATAATAAGTGACGTATTATAAAGTACAGTGTATTTTATTGCAGAACAATTAGATTTCTGAATCAATAATGCCTTTATAAACCGAATCCCAGAACTCATCCTACCACCATAATTACCATGACAGTCTCAAGTGCGTCCTCTACTAAACATAGACGTCTACCAACCATCAGACCACCACAGATGGGGCCCAATACGGCCGATGACGATTCGGAGTCGCGGAGAACCTAACGGGTAACCGGGGTCCAGTCAGTAAGAGTCTGACACTCCCTCCCGCCTCACCCAGGCGGGAGCAGTCATTCGATAATTTTCCCCCCTTAAAAAAAAAAGACGTCTACCAACGATAAAATTAAACCATCAAAAATTATCCGCTTTTAATTACACGTACAACTATTCAAAATATTTCCCGACCCAGCATTTATTCCGGAATATTAAGCTTCGTCGATTTATTGAATTCTTCCTAACCACTTTTTGTTCGGGCTCGTACAAAAGCGGCCTAAGTAATCTTGCGAATAAATTGGTGGCCATGATGTTAATTAGGGAAGTATTTAACAGAATGACCCTAAAAGACGGTGTAGATTATCACGTGGTATAATGGTGCAGACGTCAGCTCATCACGTTACTCTAAACGATCACGTTTCTTTATTTGATTTTAAACTTTAAAACTCGTCAATAAAGTTTATTTAAGAAAAACAGATAAGGAAATCTGTTGGCGTCAATCACGTTCGAAATTTAAAGCTTCAAAAACCCGTTACGTTTTAAACCGGCCAGTACTTCTATTTAAGACGCCATCTTGGATTTTTACTATCCATAAATAAAAGAAAGAAATTCTACAATCGTTTTGAAATTCTTAGAAAGTAAATTGCATGAATGAACTGCTAACGATCCCCTCTTCACTCTGTGATTCTAGTTGCCATTATTAATTAACGATAATGAGAATTGTTGAAAGCGTTACAGAATTTTTAAGTTTCTAGTTTGATGCTTTGATCTTTCTTTTTATTGTTAAGAATTGAATTTTTGTTTCATGAAGTGGTATTTAATTATAGAGTTTTACTTTGCGTAGCTTTCTTGTCTAGAGGTCATGAAAAAACCGAAAGCAGGTCCATGATTGCATGATCTGGCTGATATGAGGATATCGTCATGTGGCGGTGATATAAGGATATCATATATACTTACAGATTAATAAAATTGGATTGTCTGTTTGTAACATTTAAATACACCCGTTTTACTACATACTTACATATGAATGTACATACGATACAAATACCAAAATATTTTATTTAAAATTTTTGTCTGTCTGTCTGTCTGTTTGTACTGGCTAATCTCTGGAATGGCTGGACCAATTTTGCAAGACTTTTAGCATGTATTAAGGAGTGAAACAGGCATAGACATTTATTTTGGAAAATTGACACAAAAAAAGTTATTTTTATAATTTCATATTCATTCTCCATAATTATCATATTATACAACAGTTAGTGTACTATATACCTACTTGGTACTTAATAGAGACATTTAACCCATTGATCGAAATAATAACTAACTACGATAAGCATTTAACATCAGCCTGTGTACGCTGCTATTCACATTCTACATACGTCTAAATCATCAAAAGGTTTAGAGTACCTCCATAAATTAATCCCGGCCATTTTGCGCAGACGATCGTAAACATCATTCAAAAAAGTATTAGGAACTGTCTAGTCAATATTTTTGTCCATACATCAAACTATTGTGTGTCCTAAAATCATTGTTTGATGCGTTAACCCATAAAATATTAATGGAGGTAATAAACGTCGGTTGAATAAATGTGTGCACGTGAATTTGGACCTGGGCCATGGAAGTGTCATGGCGGACAATCAACCAGGTTATTAACATAACTGTCGCGCTGTTTAGCGGGCTCGTGGTCAGGACACGATATTGTTTGTTCGATGTTTAATGAGACTACCTGGATATTTTGGATTAAACTTTACATGCCTTTTGGTTTAGGCTTTTTCAGCAAGAATGAATCAATGTTAAAGTTCAGATATTACTGTATTCTGTTTATTACTAGATGTGTGTGATGTTACATATATTTTATAATATTTTACGTATATGTATATTGTAATAAAATCAATGTCAGTCTTTTATTTCAATTAGGAAGAAAGAAGGAAAAGAACAAAGGAAAGGCACTTTTAAACGTCAACAAAAAATTAAAAGTAGGTAAAGCTATTTGCTCATATTGCTATGGAGAAGAACGAGCAAGAAACGCCATAGGT